AGATTGAGTTTTATCCCTGCACACATTAACGCTGTGAGAGGAGGTGACATGAAAATGACCCAAGGGTCTGCCTGGTCACTAGTGCTGCAGGGCAAGGACTCCCAGGCAGGGAGTGACAAGGCTTTGTATCATGACCTAGTCCCTAGGGCTGCAGGAGGAAGGACTACCAAGCATGCAGTGACAAGGCTTTGTGTCACATGACACTGTAATCTCTGCTCACTTCCTCTCACTCACCAGGTGGAAGGAAGGGCCTTTGCCTGCCTTGACTAACTGCGGGGGTGAGAGGGTGGCGGGGGAAGGCCTCTAGGGAAAGGGATGTAGTCAAGGATCATGGAGTAACTTCAGAGTCTGGGCTTGCAAGAGAGGGTCAGGCCATTTAGTCCACTAGTTAACACCAACTCTAGTGATTCCACTGTGTATCTATAACTACAACTAAATTTATATTAGATTTAACTCAGAGTGAACTCTAAAGAAGGAGATATTAACTTCATTTTTACATAAAGAAAATTCAGAAAAATATATATTAAATGATTTTACAGGTTGTACTTCCAAATCTATCTCTTGAAACCTATCCTTTTTTTGAGGGATGCTTTATTAAAGAGTTTTATGATCCAAAACTTTTAAAAACCTTTGCATTTTCTTATCTTTTCCAATACAGCACCATATTGGTAAGCATGGCCTAAAGGGAAGAAACCTGTTTAACTGCGCTTACTCTAGAGTTCTCCAGAGTTATTAAATCTTGAGATTCTATTTTACAATTCCATTTTTAAAAAAATTTTAAAAAACCACCAAAATCTGTTATGACAGGGTTCTACAGAAAACATTTTCCAAATGATGATCCAAGTTCATAATTGGTATAAGTGGTAAATTTGCAACCAGGATACAAACCTGTTCTCTTTTAAAAGATATAGGGGGGGGAAGATATGAAATCATACATCGCAATCAACAGGAAAATATAAAAAAAACTCATAAAATTTTATTATCCTACTTTCACTGAAATTGCATTTTAATAATTTTTTGCCATTTTTTTCTTGACTGCATTTATAGGTTGTTGTTGTTATGTGCCATCGAGTCGTTTGCGACTCATAGCGACCCTATGCACAACAGCCCTAAACCCTGCTCTATCCTGCGCCAACCGCACCGCCTCTGACACACCCATCCCGATTACCCCAGTCACCGAATCAATCCATCTCATAGAGGGTCTTCCCCTCCTGCGCTGTCCCTCCACCCTCCCAAGCATGATGTCCCTCTCCAAGGACCCGTCCCTCCTGGCAACATGTCCAAAGTATGTCAGACGAAGCCCCAGAATCCTTGCCTCCAAGGAGCAGCTTGGTTTAATCCTCTCCAAGATGAATCTGTTTGTTTTCCTGGCAGTCCATGGTACATTCAGTACCCTTCTCCAGCACCACAGCTCAAAAGCATCAACTCTCCTTCTGTCCTGCCTAGTCATTGTCCAACTCTCTGAATTCTAGTTGAAAAGTTGGCTGTTCAGACTTACAGTTGCCTCAGAAGAAAGGCCTGGCAACTTGCTTCTGAAAGGGCACAGCTTTGAAAACTCTAGAGGAGCAAGCAGTTCTACTCTGCACACAAGTGATCACCAAGAAATGGAAAACCCACCCAACAGTTATTAAAAATAAGACCAGCAGTAACTGTAGTCCATGCACCTTTGCTTCTAAAGTACTTTTTTTTTTTTAAAGTTTAGATTTTATCTCAATATTTTCACATTAACACTAACTCTTGTTTTATAATCCTCATATCTATTGTTGTTGTTAGGTGCCCACCAGTACAACCAATAGCAAGACTATGAAGACCAGGTCTGAAATTCTGTCCTAGCTTTGCCCTCCTCACACTTCCTGACACATCTGAACCAATTGCATCAGTCCCTGTGTCAATCCATCTGTTTGAGGCTCTTCTCTTTCACTCCCTCTCCCCCTTTCCAAGCATAATGTCCTCCTAGGAATAGCCTCTCCTAGTAACATGCCTCATTTCTATTAGTCGGGAAGTAGTCTATCCAGATGATATCCTTTGTTCAACATTTCTATTACTTCCAAGTTTACATTTTGTAGTTACTTATGTACATAAAACTTTTTTTTCCTCTTCAATTTTATTAAGCTACATTATGCTGTTGTTAGCAATCAAGTCAGAGCTGACCCATAGCTGACCTTCCAGAGGGTTATCAGAGGCAGTACATTATTGCACATGAAGTTGCTCATCTTTCTCCCCTAGAGTACCTGGTGGACTCGAACCATAAACCTTTGGGTTAGCAGTGCAATTCCTTATCACTAGTACTCCATTGCATAAATAATACTAGATCAAAAGCATAGTCATTTTAGTGCCTTATAGTATATGGTATGCAACTTTTCTGGCAGCTATTCACAATTCTCTTTTATTAATTGACAGATTGGTTTGTGGATTTATTTTTCGTTCTTTCAAATCAACAAAGCTACAATTCCTTCGATTAGCCAAGTATTTAGCTAGGGACTTCACAATTCACCCTGGCCATCATTAGTTATTGTTCCAGTGACGAAAGGACTGATTTATACGTTTTATTGCATTATTTTGTTTGGTTTGGTTTTTAATGAAAGAGAACCTTTGCTGTTCTGGGCAATCCACTTTTGAGAATTTTGTTCTTTACTCTGTTGTCCCTCCCCTCCATCCATTCCCTGGATTTCCACTGTGCCTCTGCCACTTCTCATCAGGCTATGTGTCCTCATGTTGTTTGCTCATTTTTCAGATTGCAAAATGTGACATCAGTGTGACCTGGTTGTTGTCCACACTCAATGAGACATTGTTTTTCTTGACAGCATCTAGTGTGTTTTAAACCCTCTTTAAAGGCCCCCTGGTGGTGTAGGGGTTGGGTTCTTAAATAAAGGTTGGTGATTTGAACTCTTCAGCTCTTGGGGTTACCATGAGTCAAAACCGACTTGATGGCCATCGTAATAACATTCCCTGCTGTGATTACTACTTCCGTGATAGAAAAATGAGTGGGATTTTCTATCAGTTGGCCTCCTGACTGAGCATGTTCTGGTCTGTGTGCACTTTTGCCCTTGTTATGTGCCACTGAGTCGCCTGTGACTCATAGTGACCCTATGAATAGCAGGTCTGAACCTTGTCCTATCCTGGGTCAGCCTTACTAGCTCCAAAGCACAAGAGCCCATGGCAGGCCTATTGTTTAAAAGGCTTTTTTCTTGGTGTTTAAACAAACACATGGAAGTCATGTTTTTCCTTTATCTTCCTTACATAAATAGAAGAATTATTCAACTAGTAGATGGCTAGCAGGCTTTGTTTTTCTGAGGCAAATTACTCCTGAATTTTAAAAGTCCTTCAAAAGGAAAATAGGTGTCCTTCAGGGTATTTTTGTGATTTATTTCTCCACCCCACACCCCCATCTGAGATCTAGTCATGATATTCACAGAAATAGGAATGGTGGTGATAATGTACTAAGAGCTATAGGCAAAAAAAAATTTAAAATTCTATATTCCATCTCAAGAAAAGATGAACTTAAGTCTGCTGAACTGAATTGGTAAGTGTTGGACTTAAGTCAGCGTGCTAATGAGGCAGCTATAAGAATCCAAATGCTATTTAATCAAGCTGTTATTAAATTTTTTAAAAGAAGTCTTCTTTTAATTTCAAACACAAGCAAACATGAATATATATTTATTTCCAGGCTGTGTCATAAATTTGGCCCTTAGTCTCAGTCTCTATCTCTCTCTCTCTCACACCCCCACGCCCCCACACACCACACACACACACACACACACACACACACACACACACACACGACTTGAATAAAGGAGCAGCATGTGGTTTGAGAAACCGGATCAGTTACATTAGATGGAGTTGCACATTGGCTTGATTCACAAAAGCCAAAGCTGAGTGACAGATGCCAATCACAAGAATCTATTGTTCTGGGAATTGTACACAGGAGATGAGCATTCTGAATAAAAATTATAATATTTACTCAGCTGTGACCACACTTTTCAAACTTGATATTTTATAAAATGAACATCGTATGTACTGTAAAGTCTTAACCAGAGATGCAAGTGAGAGTGGCATATGTTGAAGAAATAATATACTTGAAATAGCAAACTGTCAGAAGCAAACCCAATTCATCGTGACCTCACAGGCAGGGCACAACTCTTCCGTAAGGTTTCCAAGGTTGCACATCTTTTCTGAAGCTGACTGCCACGTTTTCCTGTCCTGGAGTGGCTGATGGGTTCCAACTGTTGACCTTTTAGCAGCTAAACACTTAACTACTGCGCCACTAGTACTTTATTACAATCAGGCATTACCCCCCCCCCCTTTCTGAACAAATCATTCGTCACTATTTTCACAGTCGCTCTAAACTTCTGTTATATTTCCTAAATAGCTATTAGATATTTAATGAACAATCTTTTCTTCACCAGGCTCATACGAAAGGGAACATTGTAACCCTGATACAGAATTTAGGTAAGATTAAGTAGAAAAAGGCCCGGAGGTTTCAAAACCAGAAAAAACAGAGATTCAGAGAGTAAATGAAAATATTTGGCAAATGGCAAAATAAACCAGGAGACACGCCAGCTGTTCACACTGGAAAGTTACTGAACGTTTATTTTCTATTCAAGTTCTATTTATTATACGCCAAGGAACAGTAAGTTTTCAATGGGGATGAGGCGTCGTATGCGTAATTACATAAACAGGGAATGGCAAGTTTTCAATGAGGGTGGTGTGTTTTAGGGCGCTTCTCCGTTCCCCCTGCTTCCTACCGGCCACTGCTCCGGCGGGATCCCCACTGCGGGGAAGCAGCCCCAGCACGCCACTCCACGGTCTGCGGGGCTTCGGCGCTCGTCCTCGCGGTCCAGCAAACTCTCCAGCCCGGGCGAGCGGAGCACAGCGCGCGGCTGCGGCTCCGGCTCCGGAGCAGCTTTTTCCCGCTCGGGTCCCCGGGTGGCAGCCGAGCGCGGGCCGAGCTGCGAACAAAGGCGACGCGGAGCGCGGGGCGCGCGGCCGGGCTGGCGCGAGTCTCTCCGGCAGGAGGCGGCGGCGGCGCTGCGCCCGAGCCCGCATTCCAGAGAAGAGACCGGAGCCCGCGGGGCTACGTCACCCCCGACTCCGCCCCCGTCCCTCCCCAAGCAAAGTAACTCTTGACTAACAGGAGCAGCCTCCTCCGAGCATGGAGACCTGCCGCCGCGGCCGGCCGCCGACGCGGGCGACGCTTGCGCCCCAGAGGTAGTTTGGCGCCCACCAAGAGGGAAAAAAGTATCGGCGGGTGGCCGTCGACCACCCCACGTTCAGCCCGCCAGCTCCGGCCGCACCCCCGTCGTGGATTTCGCCGCGATCCCCTTGCCAGCTCTTTGCAAAGCTGCTTGAAACTTCTCCCAAACTCGACATGGATACGGCGGCGGCGCTGCCTGCTTTTGTGGCGCTCCTGCTGGTCTCCCCGTGGCCTCTCCTGGGGTCTGCCCAAGGCCAGTTCTCCGCAGGTGAGTGGCCCCAGGGCCTCTGCCGCCCGGGACTCGGGGTTTGCCAGGGGCGGACCGGGCTCCCCGCCAGGCCGGGGCTGGTTATTTGGAGAGAGCTTTCCTGGTGTTGGGGTGTTCTCGATAGGGAGGTCCCAGAGTTTGCGTCAGGTGGGATCGGGACCCAGCGTCCGCCACTTGGCGCAGGTAACTTTCATCTTTGAGACCTATTGTTCCCGCGCGCGGCCGGCTCGGGGCGCGGGCTGGCAAGGCTGGGCGACAGCGTGTGGCGACCTGGCTTTGCTCGGGCATTTGGCAGGCTCGGCGTCCGGCGCAGCGTGCACGGGTTAGTCGCCGGGAAAAGAAGGAAAAGTAGTTACCACTCTGGAGACGGCTACTTTGTTGCTAGTGGTGCAGGCTTGCTACTATTTGCTACTAAGTGTTTGCAAAAGCAAAAAAGAAAAGAAATATTCCCGGGAAGCCATTGTAGAAACGTGGAGACCAGAGCTCGGCGCTGTCTGCCAGGTGTTTTTTGTCCCGGGAATCACCTCCCCCGACTATTGTCCCAACACTTCCCTGCCCTACCCTCCCTCCCTCTTCTCTCATTGTTGGGTCGCTCCCGGACATGCCCTGCCCGGGAGTTAGGGCTTTGCATGGAACGTGTTGTGAGTATGTGCTGGTGGAGTCTGTTGTGAAACAGGATTGGGGGGAAGCACGCCAAGTAGTCCTGGGCTGCGAGGTCCGGGAGCCCCACGGGGTGATCCCGACCCGGAGTGAACGTCAAGGTGGCGCAGAGACTTCCCGAGCCAGCCTGGGTGATCAGAGTTGCAAAGGACCGCTGTCTTCCCTAAAGAAGGGATTCGGTGCCGTCTCTGACTTTAGCCCCAAGCCGTTCAAGTCGGGGAGCACTGGCGCTCTCTGCTTCCTTCCAGTCTTGTTCTCCTTCCTCTGCGCTGTTGCTTCTCTCTCTCTCACCCTCCTCTGGGGGTTCTGAAGTTTCACCAGGTGGACGCTGGGGAGCAGACTCCCGGGCACTTGTGTGTCTCGCGCCGGCCCTGACAACTTTTCTGGCCAACTCAGCCAGCTCAGATAGGCTGCCCAGCGCATCTGCTGCCTGGGGTCGTGGTGCAGATGGAGACGCAGAGGTGGGCCAAGGGGTGATGTAGAAGATGGGGAAGCGGCAGCCACGCTCCTGGCTGGGGACGCGGGGGAAAAACCAACTCACTCTGTCCTTGTCCGTTGCTCTTGTTGTGATGGCTGTTCTGTTTCCTGCAAATAAACTCCCTTTGTTGTTTTCCGGAGTGATCGTTTCTTTCCCTTCCGTCCGTCCGTCCTGTCTAGCCCCGGTAGAACTCTATAAAAGGAGTTGGCCAACAGATTCAGGTGACGGCATGTGCAGTGCACTCAGGCAGAGATTATGAAATAACAGCGTGTGTGGGAGAAGCCTGGTACGTAGGCGATGTATGCAGAAGGCAACGGCTGTATGCGATGAATGATCCGAAGGCTTGATTTCCTTCTCTCCGGAGAAAGCGTTACTACATGCGTCTCTGGCATGTAATAATGCCCGTTAGTATTGGAGCCGTGCTTGATGTAAGTCATTACATGCAGGCAAGTTGGACTGAGTATTGATTTCTACACAGGATTTGTCACTGCACGGAAAGCCCGCGCTTGAAAAGGCATGCAGTTTGTTAATTGAAAGTTTGAAGCCTGCTGCTAGTTGCACGATTAAACTCACATGGATCCAAGAGTTGCAACTATTAATGTTTCAACAGTTGATACATTTTCAGCAGTGGAGAAACTTTGCTTTTAAAATGTTACTCTTTACTGAAGGAGGGGAGTACTCCATTTCCTCCAGCAGATTGTGCAGATGAGCTGCTGTGATCCTTGGAGCTCACATATCTCAAATGAGCAATTGTCTGCTTAGACATCTAGTGCTGAGGGACTTAACTAAAAAGGCCTGACTTCACTGACAAAAGCATACATAACATTTGACTTTGTGTCATATTTAATATATATTTTAAGTAGATACAACCCTAATAAATTCCACTCTCACTGGACTGTATCCCAAATTTTGCCAGTCAGAATGTACAATGGATACCCTTATCTTCAGAGCTGAAAGTCATATTGGGGGTCAGTTTTTCTCCATAAATTGTTTTGTAATCCCCCCCCCTTGGCTGTAATAAATAATTCAATGCTCTACTGTATCAAATCTGATGGCAAGCAGATCTGTTGCAGTGACATTGATTCAAAGATTCAAAGTGTATTCTTTCTCTCTGTTTATCTTTTATGCCACTTCAAACATACTTTTATTTCTGTTGAGCAATTCATGTACAGACATTTTCAAAGTCCAAAATAAGCACATGTACAGAATTTTTAAAATATTTTAAGTTTGTCTTCTCAAGTTCACCCAGTAAGGCCGCTTAAGCCACTTTCACATATTATCTTATGGTTCCTAAACAATGTATTTCACAAAAAAAAATTTGAAAAGCCTGAGAATTATTGGGCATTTGATACATCAGATATGTATCTGCTCTATGTTGTTTAAACAGAACACTTAAGGGTGTTTGTGTATCTCATTATGACTTCCCCCCCTTAGCTTTTGGTGTTAAAGTGAAGTGTCTGGATTTGGATGAGTGATGAAAGTTGCCACATATACTGTGACTTAGACTCTCAGTTTTCTCATCTGTAAAATGGGAGTAATAATAGCTTACCTGACCTCTTTGCACATGGTTGTTAGATCAAATGAAGTAACAGGCCTTGTAAATTGTGAAGAGCTGTGTTAAATGGTGATCCTGAGGTATAATCATGTAAGGAGGTAGCAGCTGAAAAGCCCTGGCTTCAGCCCTTTCCTTTCCTAGTAATTTCCACTCTCTCATTGGTAAATACAGCCCTTTGGGGATTTTTGTCCTATGTCACCATTCCGTTTTTATCCGGTCATTTATTTTAGTTAATTTTAAAACATGAGCCGTCTAGATTGTCCAGACCATAATTTTATTAGCCCAGTGACACAGATATCCTTTTTTAAAAAAGTGACGTACCTTGGTACACATTGCTACTGTACACAAGTACATTGGAACTGTTACCTCACTGAGGGGCTCTATTAACATTTCTGGTGTTCTGTCTAATGGTAGATTTCTTTAGCGCTTTGTGCAACTCTTGTCTGTTCAGCTTCTTTATCTCAGTGTAGAGAATAATACACAGCTTTTTAGATGCAGTCTTATCACTGACCTAGAGAGGGACTATTGTCTCTTTAGTAGAATGTGAATCTTGAAATGAAGCTCAAGAAGATTTGTCTTGAATGTAGTTATGTCTTTGATATAGGTCCCCACTTGCCACACTATAAATGTGCACTCACTGGATTCCCTTAAACTCTTGGGACTTGTCTAAGCAGTGCCACTCCATGTGTCTTGCTGTGTCTGCATGTTAAATCAATGTATCTTATGTTAATTAAATGCTTGGACGATAGTAGTACATAGGGAACTCTGGTAGAACAGTGCATAGAATGCATCGAATGCTGAACTGCTAAATGGAAGGTCAGCAGTTTGAAGCCACCAGCGGCTCCAGATGTGGCAGCTTCCTTCTGGAAAGATTTCAGCCTTGCAAACCCAGCAGGGCAGTTAGGTCTAATTTTGTGGTTCTGAATCAGAATGGCAATGCTTGTTTAGGAAGGTACATGAGTGGCAGCTTGCTTTAGAGTGTGTCTTTTTCTGGTTTTGATTGGGCAGTATTCCTCAATTCATTAAAATGCAAAAGTTCTGATCAACAGTTAGGACATGTGAGAAGACATTTACCAGGACCAGGTTGTTTGTCGGCGTCCCCCCCCCCCCCCCCCCCCCCGCCCCTTGTTCTCTTCTGTCTGAATCTGTTGATTTTCCTGGATTGCGAGATGTCATTTCATGTCTGTCCTAACCAGACTGAGAGAGGCAGATTTGGGCATTGACATGTGTGCTGCTGACAGCTCTTTTCTTTGTGTTCATAAATGTGAATCTGAAAAATGAATCAGCCACTCTGCCCCTCTCCCACACTGCTTCCTACTCCTCTCCAACAACAGCACATCCCTGCCTGGGGAGCCACACAAATCACAGCCTTTTTGTTTTCTCCAAATATCTTTTGTTGCTGGACATGTTCTTCAAAACTGGAAATGTGACTCATCCACTATCCAGTGCCAATGCCAGTCCTCCTACCAAATGGAGTATTTTTAAAAATGAGAGATTATTACATGTTTTTGTTTTGTGGATTTTTCTGATGTTTAATTCATGTAAAATGATCCTCTACAGAACAATTGGTTGCTTGCTGCCTGTTAATACTTTTGAGGTCGACTGTACTTACATCTGTTTAAGATAGTGTTGAAGACTCAGTGTAAATCATAGTAAATATGGGCATGCTGTCTGGAGTCCAGAAAATACACTCTACGCTGTTCCCATTTCCCCTACAAGCTCTTTAAAAGAGGACAGGAAGAGAAAGAAATGCAAGAAGATGGAGACTAGGAAACCTCAAAAGTCTTTACAGATTGTTCTTAGAGACAAAACAAAAAACACTGCATTCTGAAGGCTCTCTCTCTTTCTCTCTCTGTATTTGTGTGTGTTTGTGTGTGTGTGAGAGAGAGAGCGCGTGCACGACAGAGAGACAGAGGGAGGGAGAGAGGGACAGAGAGATCTTTTAAATTTCTGAAGAGGGGAAAATTCTGTTTTTGTCTTGTTTATTGGATCAGAGTTTGCTTTTGTCCCAATGCATTCATTTCTTATTCTGTAGATGTAAAATTTCCCTCTGTGCATTCCTCTCAGACTTCACCCTTTGATTCTTTGTATCTGGTCTGTATTCCTTTATCAAATAGTGTTTTGCTTTGCCTCAAAAGGTTGTAATTGCTTTTGAACATGACTTGTTTTTTTCATCAAAACTCCTGCTGCTTGTCACTGTTACTGAATAATGGTGCTCCATCAAGTCATGATAACATCTTTAAAAAAGCATTTGATAATAAATAATTGGGGAATACATCAATCATCCTAATTTTTGTTTCCATCAAA